ACTAAAAGCACCCCGAATTTCAGTTTCATCCACGATCCGGACCTTCATAAACCACGTGTTCCTCGCACACACCCTCTTATCATATTTGACCCATCTCGCTATCATCGTCGTGAGTGCAGGCCCGAACGTCGTGATGGTGGCATGGCTCAGCTGGCTTTATCGATCGCCTACGACTCCATCTACCGACTGCCGGTCGTCTGGGTGCTTGGTTAGACGTTCTGATACCAGCGCAGCAAATCGATCGATTTGTTTTTACATAGGCAACGATCCGTGCCACTTTGTCGGGGGGAGGCGATGACGCGCGCACGCGATGATCGCCGGACTCAAGTAAGCTTCGAACTTGTGTCGTCACGCCAGGGGTCGAGTCAACACAGGATAGGTCACAGGCGGTCGCGATCGCGCATGGCTTTAGCGGAATCAGGCATAAACCAGTTAATAGAAGACGGGGGTAAAAAAAAGAGAAAAAGCGGGGGGCCCGCGAGAAACAGCTGGATCTGACTTAGGAACCATTTTTTACCAGAATGGAATGTGAAATGTCTGCCCTAGCTGCAGGACAGTGAACGGTTTCGGATTTCGGAAATTAATGCGTCAAAGCAGAGTACATCCTTCGAAGTGAAGCTTTATAGACTCAGTCCGAAATTTGATATGGATATTTGAACTGAAACCCACCAGCTTCGGTAGGATAACCGCATAATATTCATAAACAGCCAACAGGCAGCCAGTAGTATTCGCCCGATCCATGATTTCCCATACTATAAGTAAAGGCACCAACTAAAAACACAGACAAAGGGTTCACTGGTATTCTGCGGCTGCCTGTGGGCAGTTTATGAGTATAACGCAGTTATCTGCTGAAACTGATGGATTTCGGCCCAAATATTCGTAGCAATTTCGGTTAAAGCCCATAAACCATCATGCAGAAGGATTTGCTCCGAGTCAGGGAATCAGTTTCCGAGGAGATGAAAGAGCTGAAATGTCAAAACTGAATTACCTACCAGAAGGCACACTAGCGGAACTGATGAGGCAAAACTCTCGCATTTGTGTCATGCAGAGACAAAATATCGACGAAACTCGTGTCTGGGCTTTTAGCTAGCGCCTGTGCCGCCAGTATGGGGAATCAGCTGTTTGGTCTGCTGTGCAAATGGCTAGGCTCAGGGAAGTACACTCCTTGAAATGAACAAATAGTCCTTGATTCAACTTACCCAATAGTTAGAATCTCGAATACCGCGACGGAATTCGAACCCACAACAACAAAAAGGCCATGCGTTTACCTTCGCGCGTCTGAATCCCACCGATGGCGCCAAGTTTTTCACAAATCGACCAGTTGAATAATTCAAATCTACTGAAGCGTACCTATTAGACGTTCTTCAGTTCGTAAGCCTGTAACTGAATCCTAGAGTCTCTGTCACTGGCCTCAGGAAGGTATAGCTGTTATTTCTTTATTTATAGGTCATATTCACATAGGAATACCTCTTGATGTAGAGCAAGAGGATTAAGTTCGTAGTCCTCGATGAGAAACTGGTTTCCCTAGTAGCCCTTATCTGGATAATTCTCTGGCCGTCTGCTGAAAAATTTCACCTCGGAGCCACTTGTTGAACGTCGTAGGAAGTACTTCATTGCCATTTAGATCTTATAAATGTGCTCTCCCTAGTGCTCGCACATTCTTTGTTACGACCCTCGTGCACATTCATTTAACGTAAGCTAACGTAGTAGCAGTAGCAGTATCAGTAGCAGTAGCAGTAGTAGTAGTAGTAGTAGTAGTAGTAGTAGTAGTAGTAGTAGTAGTAGTAGTAGTAGTAGTAGTAGTAGTAGTAGTAGTAGTAGTAGTAGTAGTAGTAGTAGTAGTAGTAGTAGTAGTAGTAGTAGTAGTAGTAGTAGTAGTAGTAGTGATAGTAGTAGTATCGGCAGCAATAGCAGTGACCAAACGGAACTGATATGCAAATGGTCCTCTCTACCCGTCGCCATTGTCAACACACCTTCCGGAACCGCGTGAGCATGGTCGCAGACCTCCAAGTACATCGGTCGGACAACAATATAAGCACACAACGCACCACCCAAACTCCCACCGCAGTACTATGAGGACATTTAAGTTTGCCGATAATGAAGAAACCACCTGGTGGCTGTCAGACCTAAAACGACATCTGTTTTCTGCCTCGGATGAAATATCCATGTAAAATCCAGTTTTATTTGTGGGCTGGAAGAAGGGTGTGTGGGCGGAGTAAAACGACTAAAATGTGTCTGGTCATCAACTCCAGTCTTTTTTAACCTCCGTTGAACCGACTTCCTTAATACTGGAGCATGATGAGTGTAGGAAGGGAGGGTGCGATGGAGTCAGATGCTGTGCACGCCTTCTTCATTACATCCACTGTTAACTTTTACTGTCATATAATATGATGGACAAAGAAGAGTGTGGTAGCATAAGTCGCCTTGCCGACTCACGGGCGGTGTCCGTCGTCCCATCCTACCACCAGATCTGGACTGTGCGTGGACCGAACCAATGCACGTGAGTTCTCGCCGGATAGACCGAGACATTACTATCCCTTTCGCCTGTTCCCTCATTCCCTTCGCCGACGAGGCTGCAGATGGGTAAGTAGGCGGCTTGTGGTTTGAGCAGTGTTCACCCCCGAGTATCAATTGACTGCTCTGAAAGACTGGGACAACCGAGACCACTAACCGCACACGAAGTATGGTGACTCACGTGCCGATAACTGCGCAAGCGGTATGATAGGTGGTGGGGACGCAGCGTCTGTCAGCGTTCCCTCCATCCCCTCTTCCCCCCCCCTTCCACCGCATCATCTCCACCGGAGTTGTCACGCAGCTTCAAGATGACCGCCAAACACCGCTGTGAGTGGCTGTATGTGGGCACTCGCATTTTGACGCTGTCACGCCTCTCCAGCAGTAGCCCCTCTGGAAAGCCCTCGTTTGCTCTAAAGGCCCCCCTTTATGAAGAGGAGCTTCGTAAACGGCCCCACCTTTGCGTACATTTTCACCGCATACTTGAAGGTCGGCCAGCGGACGCGTAACTGGCAGTGTTATATTCGGTAAATAGCGTTAGTGAATGTTGGGGGTAATTCTGTGCAGCTGGATGTCGGAATGTAAATACACCTATGAAAGACGCTAATATTTTAAAATATATTTTCGATCGTAAAAGAGATTGTGGGGCAGACCAGGATCCAAAGCTTCTGGTTGAGCAGCTATTCAGCAACCTGTGGAAGTCACACTTGAGCAAAAATAACTATTTATGTCGTACGCACTTTTCATGGATTGTTGATCTTTGCATAAGTTGCATAATATTTCCCGGAAACTATGCCCAAAAGTTATCATACTTATTTTGTGGGGAAGTACGTCTTTTTAAAATATATGCGAGGGTGAGGGTTCACTTCGACCTGTAATTGTAATAGTTTATAAACCTCCCACTTATTGATACGATACGATACGAGCATCCGAAGGTTTCTTTATACTGCTTAGCTTTATGGAAATTACAGAGCAGGTGATTTTAAAACCCTAACTACGAGTGGAAAAGCTGGTTTTGTTTTAAATAAAACACCAAATAGGTAACTCTTCAAAACCACTCTTCCTTCTAGCAGGGATGCACACTGAGTAAAGTGGAATTTACACCATAACGCGAATATGGCACATATCTCCGGTGAATGTGACGAAAGTAATAGAAATATCAGTCGAACTACTTAGGTAACAAACATATTTATAGAATTTAATGAATGTTTCCCTAGCCCACCGTGTGTCCCACGCATCAATTGGTCTATTGGGGTGCAGGCTTTCGGTTTATCTACCACACTCTCTCCTCCCTCAACCACCAGGTTCCAGTGACGACGTCGGGATGAACGGAGACGAAGTCCGACACTGGCTCACAAAGCTAAACAGTCCGTCTACGCGTCTCACACGCGACCCAGCTCTCCTTTGGTCTATACCGGGCCACGCTATGGCGGCTCGAAGCCCACATAGACGAGAATGCCACCACATTAAGATGACGCCTAATCCTCAGTCCTCGGGAGGAGGACCGAGTTATCCCGTCAGTCTAGAACCAATCAAATCACGACTCCAGGCGCATCATGATTTGCATAGGCGCATTACATGGGAGACTGGGATGGCCATTTCTGGCTTGCTAACCGCCATTACACAGCCATACCCGACCCCGGGGCCTGAACTCGCGACCGATTGGTTAGAAGACCGAAGCTCTAACCATTGGCGGGACTCGAGAGACACCCAAGGTAAAAGGGGACGAGTGAGTTCCGTAACGTGATCGGTGCGCGCCTCCCTGCCGTTGTCGAGTTCCCAATGATTAAACCTTTTCCCGGCTAGGGTGAGGTAACAGTGGCGTTGATCTTTTATAAGTCTATTGGGCGTATCTGAGATCGGAGGCCTCCAAGGCGCTCCCGACTGCTTAAGCAAGCACAAAATGCGAGTACCGGTGCTTGTCCCGAGACTGTCAGCTTCAACCCCTAGACTTCCTGGGGGTGCTGGGCAGTAGCCTTCCCTAAACACCACCAAAAAGATGCAATTTGTCAGCAGAACTCAGACAATTACGAGCGCTCAAGTAGTCTAAGCCAAGACATCCCTCGAGCAAGCAGGAGAATAAACAAATACCCTCCTCGGGAGCTAATCTTATGCCACCAGGTCGACGTGCCGCCGCAATTAAGTACGCAACTACAACCCCCCTCCCTCCCATGAACTCGGTAAAATCAATAGAGTTTAGGCCCTTCTGTTATCCTCCACACGTCCACCCATCCCAATTACATCGATAAACTATCAAGTTATCAGATCAATAACGCAACTAACAAAAACAGTTGACTGGCTGGAGTCTCTGGTATTGTTCTCCCAGAAGGGAGGGCTGGGTAAAATATATAAACTTTTTGAGATAATAAGACAAGAATCACAGAGGCCACAAAAAGGGCGTTTCAGTGGAGTAAAAAAATAGGCTCTAAGAGGGGGGGGGGCAGGAGGAGGAGTAAGAGTCTTGAATTAGTTAAGCAGGAAGGCTAGAGTCAGTCAAGATAGGGACGCCAGACCGCCTGAGTGGGGCTGGTAGAGTTGGGATTGGATTGGCGGTGGCGGTTGTGTAGGTTAAAACTGTCTGTATCTGCCCCACCAGGTTGCAGGGCAGTTGGGGGTGTAACAAAATCGGTGCTGTCTGTGCTGGACCGTCCCACAGTCCCCGAGACAGGAGTGCTCCAAGTGCAGCTGCTGATGCTGCTGTCGTAGCCCGGCCGCAGGGGCGATACGACACTGGTGTCATAGGAGGTTAGCTGAGGAGGGCCGGGGAAGGGCGAGGACAAGGGTGCCCGGAAGGCCGACGGCGAAGGAACAACACGAGGAAGCAGGGTGCTAGTGGACACAGTCGAAACTGGCATAAAGGCAGAGACGCGTCCTCCACTAGAGGTCGGAAATCTGACGGGGCAAGGAATATTCTCTTTATTTTCACCGCCCCGCTCCTTTATTGCCCCACCCGCCCTCGAGTTCGGCGGTGGTTCGTCCTGGGCTGCCACCATGGCCCGTTTACGCTGTTGTTCGCCGGAAGAAGTCTGCATCTGCGAGCTCAGTCGGCGCATGCTCGCCTGGAGGTCTGGATTCGCTTTGACGACTTCGGAGAGACCCTGGAAGACTGTGACACATTGGTTGAGGATGTCGGTGATTTCAGTGCGCTGTTGGGTCTGCACTTTGGGCTAAAAGAGGAAACAGGGGAACATGATGACGCTATTTCTATGGTGTGAAGTCCGTAGGCAGAAAAAGGGGGCCAAGTGAGGTGTCCGTCAGCGTGTCGTTGAGACACACGCGCGAGGATAGTGCAACGGTGCTCGTGGATGCATGCCGAAAATCGACCGCGAGGGTGCCATGGCAACATTGACTCGGGCCTCAGAAAATCGATAATGGGTTGGCGTGACACCTGAGATAGGGTGCAATGAGTCAGCCAATTGCGTACGCCATGAAATTAGTTTGGAAAATAACTCAAGAGGTTGACCCCAGCAGAAACGTGCTATGTACGCTTCAGCGAGCAGCTGTAACAGCTCTCGTAGCTAAGGCATACATGGCGTCTAAACGGCTTCTGGGAATAGCCTAACCGCAATCGGCTAGGACGGTCTTAACGAGCCTTCAGCCAACAATTCGAAAGTTATCATGTTTATGTGCTTCTTCGTGACAAAAATGAGAATTGTCAGTCCCATCCGGCAGCTGGGCTGGTGGGTGGGCAGAGAGACTCGGGTTGTGCCCATAATAACCTACACCTTGTTTGTCAGTTTCCCCTTTAAGTACGGTTAACTGCTTAACTCAGAGCCCGCGGAAACAGGGTTACGCCTTGTAGCCAGGACTTCGGTCTTTTGGGAAATTTGCAGCCGATGAGCCCCTCGCCAGTGGGGGTGGGAGGGAGGATCATGAGGACAGTAGTCACAGTATCTGAACAGTAGCGTGCCCTGAAGTCAAGCACAAAGAAAATCTTCGTGCAGAGTGAAAACTCACCGTTTCGCCAATAATTGAGATTGCAAGGTTGTGAAGAGCGGATAGCTTGTCGGCAATGCAAGCACGTCTGCGTCGTTCCATGTTCTGCTTCTTCAGCTGTGAGACCGAAAAAAAACAAAGGGGCGGTGTGAGAACAGTCACTGGAGTACCTGAGGTTAGGAACAAATGCGGATCGACGTGAGTAAACAGGAAAGGATGTCCTTCAAAGGGACAGAGCGTGAGTGGACCCCACATCAGACGACGTGGTGGTGGTGGTGGGGGCGACAGTACAACGCCAGGGGAGGACCGAAGTGACACGCGGAGCACTGAGCACATCCATGAATGCAAACCGGTTAGAGAGGGAGGGGGGGGGGGGGCTGGGGCTACCCTGACAACCTCCCGTCGTTCCCCTTTTTAGTCATCATTCTTAGCTTTCTGTTAGCCAAAACATGACAACTTCTGAGTACATGAAAAAATCATCGTAATTAGAATAAACGTCAACTGGCACCCACATGCTCTAGGATGTAACACACTTTTTCGAACATGTACCTCTCTCTCTCCGGACGTAGCACTCCTACAGTGGCTAGAAAAGCAGTCTATGGGTAAATCCGAACGGGAATTTACTGATTTACTCACTTTTAGTCTATGACGCGGATCATGATCATAAAAACTGTAACCTGAAGGGTCTTATTAATGTGTTGCAACAATACTCACAAACCCGATCGTTTTACCAGCAAAGCAGAAAAAGCTACTTCTGGGAACACGTATCTACAAAGACCCCTAGGCAAGTGTATCAGGGTTAGGCTACAGTGACCGGAAAAGTGGCTGTGGAAGTCAGTGGTCCCTCTGCTTGTCTTCATTTCTCGTTTAACTTATTGTTTCTCCATGGCCTCGGCTTTGTAATCAATTGTATTTGGGCTGGCACTAACTACTATGATCACACCGCACGATCGCAAGGGGCGTTGATGGTCGAATTAAGAATTGCAGCAAGATGCCGTAGAGACAATCTCAATAGTGACAATTCTATGGGAGGATTGCCATAAAGCAGGTGTTGCCTAGACAAGCTATCAACTTTTTCTTCACACGCAGTTACTAGAGTAGAAATCACGACAATTCGGGCACTTTAATTTTCACGGATTACCACCATGTCCACGCATGCAATGGGGATCAACGCTTGCCTAACTACGTGATCACTGTTCAGCCTAGATTGCTTTTGCCTACCGGGTAAGTCGTAATCAGTTCACGCATCGTCCGGAAACCTCTAATCCACTCACGTGTGGTTCGATTGAGTTTGACGGACTTTTGCCCATAAACGCAAATTGATGGTACTGGGAATAAATTAAAAATCGAAAATCTAGTCAGTATGATTTCGAGAAGCAGTCAAAATCTGTAGTTGTCTAGGGCCGAGGTTAGTGGTGTGCGTTAACTCAAACAGTCGAGACAGCAACTATAAGAGGATAAGATACAGTAAGACGAGGTCGAACTCCGAATATGTCTCATTAGCCTCTATTATAGTGCGCACGACTGTACTATACTGAGGCGAATAACGCTTAATTATTTGTCCAATAATTAAGAGTAGTACAGATGAGCTGACTGAACCACTTCTGGACACCACATGTGGTTGTAATGACTTAAGGCAATACAGCAGCACACAATTGTTTACAAGAGATTAAATGAAGAGGTGAGTTCGATCTGGCAAGGTTGATACCTTAACGAAAGTCCCACAGTTAAACGCTCAGACGTTTGCCACGCACTCTCCAACAGATTGCATAATATTCTGAGTCCATATTTCTTTGAGAAAAAAAATAGATTCAGACAAATAATCTGAACCTGGAAATAATGGACTGTACACTAAGGGACTCGACCATAATAACAGCCGATTTGCCTATGCATCGGATATAGAAATGACAACGTGATAGATCCGCATGATTTTGATCCAAAGCTCGAAGTTTTACATATTGACGAAATTACTCATAGGCAGTATGCGATAGGGGAGTTAGCCGAGGGCCAAACACTCACTTTTCTATTTTGTTCTCGCTGTGCCGGTGGGACGTTGGATTTTCTGCCTCGCTTTCTCGCAGGGGGCATGTTCCAGCCGCTGGAGTCCGGCCTTGGATTTGAGTCACCAACTTTGAGTGGGATGACGTAGATAGGCTGGCAGGTAGTTGGTGGGTGCTGTTGAGCGGAAAGGGAGGGCATCGTGGTGGGCACTCTATCGGTTGGAGTACGTCCCGAGTTGGATAAAGACATTTCGTCCACGTGGGAAGCAAGGGAACAAGCACGCGCAACGAGGGCGCATACAAAGGGGCAATGAATGGCTCAGGGGCGGCCAGACAAGACTGCTAACAATCGCTCTCATCCGATTGGCTCACGTGTGACCAATCAACGTTCGATTCTTCCATCGGAGGCCGACCATCCAGAAACTAGAATGGCACATGGGTTGATATGTGTTAGCAGCCTGTGAATTCATTGGTCGAGATGGGCACGCTTCCTGACAAATTACGAGGCGCCCTTAATATGCTGCGTGTTTCCCCACGATCCCACGCAGCACGCGGAACTTAGGGGTCAGCTTGTGCGGATGTACGCTTTCGCCAGAGTATTCTAGCTACCAGTGCTACAAAACTGGCAGCAGAGACAGAAACCGTTTTCCACGCGCATCCGAGAAAACTATTATGGGCTTATGTACAGGCTGTTCCTAGTACGGTAGACAAATCCCACGCGCGTACTTTAAGCCCACAGCGCCTATAAGGCTCTTCCAAGAATTAAAATTTTTTAAAAGACCAAACTACGATTCTTGGGATTTGCCGCTGGACTTTGACCATTTCCTATCGTTAAGTCATCAAAAACCCTTACACACGCCTACGTATACAACAGTATGAATAACATACTGCCCATACCATACGCTGCTGTGCGGCTGCTGGATGGGGTTGAGAGAGAGCCCGTAAGGCACAACGGAACGAGTGAGTTCCGTAAAAACGATCGGTGAGCGTCCCCTACCATAATATATTACTAGGTAGATGCTTTTAACGTGCCAAAACACCACATGCGGCTATGAAATGTCAGTAATGTGAAAGGTGCAACAATTGCATTGCCTCGGTGGAGTAGTACAATTTGGGTGTTGTAATTCAAGAAGTTGACAGCAAGATTGCCATCAGTACATTTTTAGAATGTCCTTGCGATGCCCAGGTGTTCGGAGACAAGTACGGAGGATAGGTAGTTATTATTATGTTCGACAGTAATTTATTTTTTATATGTGCCAAATAGGAATCCTGCCCAGATACCTTGAAAAACAGTTCAAACGCATAAGGCAGTAGGTATTTAATCTGTTAGCTTTAAAAGCCAGTACTACTAAGAGATGCAAGCGCTATAGCTAAGGACTCCGGAAGACCCGGGCGGTAAAATCAAGTTATTGGCAAGTGAGGAAGCCGAAAGAGTAGTATTTGGTCACCTAATTGAGGAAATATGATTAAAATGAGTCGCGTTGAAGTGATAGAAATAAAAACTCACACATTTCTAAACCACTGTTAGTAAATAAATTCAGGTGCGTCTCCTTCAGCCTCCCTTGCCCTCAAATAGACTGTTCCGTTTTTAAACATTAAGTTGCGTGCCAAAGTGAGTAAATATGTTGGACAAGAATTTCTCCATTTTATTTAGCCCAACAAAAATGTAATAAGTGAGGGTTTGATCTCCTAAACCTCAAGATGATTTCATTTTGCTTTGACTGGTAGTTCTCCAGCCACCTACCGGGTAGTTCTCCGCGCCAAACTTGCATCGAATCTCCATCCTCTTCGCGAAGTTCTCTTTGAGGCCAGTTGACTACGGATTCAGAAGAGCAACTGGGAAGGTTTTGCAACTGTGGTTGTGAGTAACATCCACAACGACTTACTATATGGAACGCGACGTGACAGTCTTGATAACCGCAATTATAAACCCTATCTCTTCTTTGTTCGGACCTAAACGTTCAATAGGATGTAGAAACCACATGCGATAGGACATTTAAACCGATAAAAGTAGGCAAATTTGAAAATACAATTAGATTTTTTCTGTAGGATTTGCCTACAGCTATTCCCCACCTTCTCCTGAAATAGTCCCCCATTCCGCGTATAGCACGGATGTTTTTAGATCGCTTTATTTCTCGATCGTTTTACAACCTAAAATTCTTACGAAGTAAATATCATTTTCTGATATATCCGTGATGCCTACCACCTAATCTACCCTGGTTTTCTCGAGCTGAACAAAACTTAAGAATGACTGAAGAAATAGTGTCACATACTTTTGGTCGGCATTTTGAATTCCCTGAGCACCCATCTAAAGTGCCTTCAGTTATGCTTTCCGTTGCTGGCACTTCCCTTACCCGTTTGTACCCCTTCTTTTGCATGAGCTACCTTCCTTTAACTGACTGGTTTCTCTGGATAACCTGCGGCTGGTAATTTAATGTGTTCGAATATTGACTAAGGGATTATTTAACAAAGACATCAGCTGTCGAGGTTTATACTTTTTCCTTTTCATTTGTATTCTGTCAGCAGTACCCTATATGCACCGAAATCTGCTTTTTGGGTTTATACACGTCGTTCGGAACACCGGACGACGAAGGATTTCGCAGCCCAAACTCGCAATGCAAATCTCACATCTCGTCGATATCATTCAGACCGGGTTGTAACCGTAAGGTGGGCCTTGCAATGTTAGTGAATAAGTTACGTGCTTCTCTAGATTTTTAGTTACCTTGCAATAACACACCTAGCTCGTAAGAGGTCAAGTTAAATTTTGAAATGTGTTGCCAGTTAGAAAGGATTACTTAAGTAGGGACTGTGATATTAGTTATCGTGAGGCATAGTCACCAGATAGGATGCTGGCTTTTGAATGAGCTCCTTTCCGGCCGCCTGCAAAAACAGCATTCGGTAAAAAAGGATTGTTTGTGCAGTACAAATCTCTCCCATCGATTTTCAGAGTCCTTATAAATTCAACTATGTTTTATAGAAGGCATACAAAAGTGTTCTTCCTTCTAATATTTTGGCAGGGAATTACGCCTTCGATAACATTTTACAACTGAAGAAAGGATATCTCCTAGTTAAAAAATAATTACTCCGATTCCGAAATAGTTTTGAACTCCACCTGTAATTACACTTACCATTAGGGCTTCCAAACTACAACCTGTATGATTTCTGCGAGAGGAAAATCGTACATTTTCTCCAACCTGCCTCTTACTGCTATCCTAATGTGCCTTTTTTCCCCTACAAAGTAATAGCTGCATACCTAAACGCACGACGAGACCGGTCTCTCTCTCTCCCGTTTCCCACGTACAAGTGCACTGTCTGGGCGCTTCCTATGACTGGTAATGAGGCTGAGTGTAGTGCCTGGCATGGCATAGAAGCCTCCGTCCACATGTGTCACACGTACATGCGTCAGTACGTATGGGCTCGTGCGCACGTGCCCCTGATTGGCCAAGGCAGTTTGGTTCAAGGGGGAGGGGAGGGCAGTCATAGCTCGGTTCAATCAACTCATGAACAGATAGTTGTTTCAGCACCCTCGCAAGGCAAAGGAATCGATTAAAATTCCAAAAGCTTGCCTTTTCACGATGCAACTGCGAGGGGTTGGACTCACTACTGACTTCTCTAGGGTCCCCTTTGCAACTTCTGATAATCCTCAAATTTCCAAATTTCACATAATTACTACCTCTATAAATAACGAACAAGTGGGCGCGCTCAACATCGGTTACCATCTCAAACGGTTTATTTTTCTATCCCGCGCATTTCAGATTGCAAGGAGGTAAGGTGCGGTTATGTAATCCCACCTGATGGACGTAATACTTTAGGGTATGGTGATTCCATACTAACAGTGCAGGTACTGGCCAAAAGCCCATACACGCGTGTTTCGCCGATATTCTGCCGCTGCATGACGCAGCTGCGAGGAGTTCGGCTCGTCAGTGGGTCGGCAGTTAATGAATATTACGCGGTTATCTCCGGTGGCTGATTGACTTTGGCCCAAATATTCATGCATAAAAACTTAGGTCTGAGCCTATAGACCTTAAATGTACTGATGTACTCCAAGTTCGCAGTTAAAAAGGACACAATACTGTTGGGATTGAGGTTAGAGGTTGGGGTTAGGGTTAGGGGTTGAGGCAACTATTTCTCAACTACTCAAAGTACAACCGCGCATTACCAATAGCTGTTCTTTTGCATACAACTACTTGACCTCGTTGCCTGTGCGTTCCCCGGTTCCATCTGTGAAAACCCCTATTGCCACCGGACCGGTATTAGAGGTGGCTGGGGTTTGTTTACTTCAAGTGGGGCTACATAATCACATCTGACCTTGCAGGGAGACTGGAATAAGTACCCTCCCGTATTACAGGTGGTCTAGCACTAAGTTTCACGGGTACTAGGGTAAGGAGAGTCAATGTCAGTGTTAGGACGGTTAGGACGTTGAAGGTTATGATGGTAAGGGTCAAAGTTAGAACACGGGAATAGATATACCCTTGGAATTCAGCGAAGGGCCACTCGAAGCAGTGGGGAGGGCGGGGGGAGGGGGTAGGTTGCGTATATCCGTGACCGGAGTCCACTTTTTTCGGCTGCGAACGCTGGCTGCCCTAATTTTATCTCTCGTTTTCGAGTCTATCTTGGCGCAGTGCTAACAGCAGTACAGAACTTCGTTCCCTGCAAAACTTTCAGCTCAAACATCTTTTTTTTTCAGTGCAAAAGTACATTTTTTACAGTGCCGACGGACGAACACCCGCAACACTAATCCAATCGCCACAAATCCGCTCACCATTGCTAATAATGACAGGGAACTATCGTTCCTCGACCAAACTACATCCATCAACCGCCTCCTCCCTCCCCAAAGGCAGTAGTTCACGCCCACCGGATGCAGAAAAACAGTTCCATTTCTTCCGAATGAGTTGTGCTGATTCGTTCAAATGTGCAAACGATACAGGCTGATGGATAGCCAGACAGAGAATACAGGACTCAGAACGAAAAGGGCAGACAGCAACGTGGAGACTGGGCTACGTGCTCAAAGGTTCCCCTAATCGGTCTTCGGCGATTTGAATGCCTGTCGTGACTTTGATCTCCGCGTGTGCCAGTAAAGCCTCCAGTTGCCGTCCCGTGTGTGTCTCCACCGGCCGGGGGAGTTTGCTCACTTGGGAAAACAATTCGACCGGCTGGTCGAGCTCCGTCCTGACGACCAATATATTTTCATAACGATTG